CTTGAAGGAACTAAAATGGTCTACATATAGCATAGACTTGAAACCTGCTGAATTTAGCCTTGCTTGGGCTCCAGATTTTCCATGCTGGAGAGAAGAAACTCCTTGTACAATGAAGGAAAGAGTCAGAGAGATATTTTGCATATTGTTTCCATTGGTTGGGTAGAGGGACATGGAAGAGAATCAAAAGAGGAAATAGCAGGCCTCTTAGGGTATGGGCAGACTTGGTCTACATAGAAGGTAAGGATTATTTTGTTCCAGTGGGAGGGATTCCTAGATTTGGGACCCTAAGCTTCTCTCAACTAGCCAAAGTTGGTTCCACTGGCAGTGTACAGAGCTTCATTTTTTCTTCGCCATACTTCAGCTATTGGTAATTTACAGGGGCAACGACTTAGATCCTGTCAGCCCAGAAGTCTCTGGGTACCTTAAACCAATTACAACTCTTCACTCCTGTTACAGATTTAAAAATGTATCTGGGATAATGTCAAACAACATCGAGAAAAGGCTTTCGGTCTCAAATAAAGTGGCGGTGACCTCCTTACCCTCAATTTTCCCAGGATGTCAGGACACCTCTCCACAGGGTGAAGGAGTATATAAATTTAATCTGGTTGCTCATAGCAGGGTTGAATGGAGGGACCAATCAGCTGTCACTCTGGGCAATGACAAGCTCACAGCCCCGTCAGTAATGGGCAATGAAGCACAAGCTGCCATTAGACTCATCCATGTCACCTAGGAAGAAGAACAGGGGTAGAAGAATCCTCATAGGATTCTTTTGTTAGGGTGGTTTGCACAGACTTTGAGAAAGAATGAATTCTCTAAAGAGCCAATGGAAAGAGTCTGCTCCAGAGACACTTGATGGATTTTTTTTTAGAATTATTTAACTTTATTTATTATTATCATTATTATTTTCCTGTTTGATCAGACAAAAAGAGAGAGAGGGGGAAAGTAAGAGAAAGTAAGAGAAAGTAAGCCACTAGGTTCAGGACTTGAACCACAGTCAGCCATATGGGAGTCCAGCGCCTTAAACCACCATGCCATCTGCTGGCCCCCACTCGATGGACTTATATTCAATCACCTGTTTAGGAGATGTTGAAAATAGCAGCTATGGCTCTGCTGTCTCCCTTCAGATCTGACGACACATGTTTTCCTACAGGGAGGCTGTAGTTTTCTTTTTATTCAAAGTGTGGTCTACAAATTTGCAGCCTCATTATCACCTGGGAGTTTGTCAGAAATGCAGAATTTGAGATCTCATCCCAGATCTCATGAATCAGTATGTACACTTTCACAAATTTTCAGATAATTTGTAAGTGCATTTATCACTGTTTTATATAATTCTCTAAATATCTAGTTTTACTGGAAAAATAAAATCTATAGATGTTGCTGCTGTCACTTAGACAAACAGCAACGTCTTTTCTTATTTTTTAAAAAAATTTGACTTTTGGGACCAGCAGATGGTGTAATACTTACATCACTGAACTTCCACGTAGTTGACCACAGTTTGAGTCCTGGACCTGGCAGCCTAAAACTCATGCTGGAGATGTGTGCATGTGTGCCCTGAATTCTAAGAGGATGGAGGAGAAGGGCTTGTGGAGTGGCCATCCCCCTTTGGGATGATTTCTCTTTTTCTCTCTGTCTTCCCCTTAGCACATGCACCCTGTAGCGAAAATCTCTTAAAAAATTAATTTTCCTTTCTTTCTTTCTTCCATGAGTGAAAGGGGAGGGGGGGGGGAGAGAGAAAGAGAGAGAGAGAGAGAGAGAGAGAGAGAGAGAAAAGAGAGATACAGCACCCAGGACAGAGTTCAATCTCTACAATCTACCCCTGGCCTCAGCAGCCCCGATCATGGGCTTGTGAATGTTCAGTGTACTGCAGGGAGGCCTCCAGACACAAACCAGGCCTATATGTGGGCAGTGCATTGGTTTGTGACATCATGCCACTGCCTAGACCTAACTTTTTAAATATAATATTGAATGCAAACTTTTTCAGTCAATTTAGCTAAATGGTGTTACGGTAGAGGAGGACATAAGTTCCCTCCACCTCCCAGTTGCAGTTTTCCATGGAAACCAAACACAAGTCAAATAGAGAGGAAATGCAAGGAGCATTCAATTTCTTTTAAGCTTGATACCTGATTTCTTCCAGACTCAGGGTCAGTGTTATTTTCATGACTCAACTGAATTGTTTTCTGAGCATATGAATATGTGTGTGTGTGTATGTGGGTGTGTGTGTGTGTGTGTGTGTGTGTGTGTGTGTGTGTGTGTGTGTGTGTGTGTGTGTGTGTGTGTGTGTGTGTGTGTGTGTGTGTGTGTGTGTGTGTGTGTGTGTATTTCTGTGCACTCCCACATAAACCTAAGCATTCTATCCAATATTTGGCAACTTTTAGATAACGCAATGTATTTCATCTCTTTGCAGCATCCCTTCTCTTTCATTTCTTGAAAATATTATGGTGCCCTTTGCCGTAGGCACATGCTCTGTGAAAAGAGAGGGCAGATCATGAATTAGGGGAAGAGAGCCAAACTGTCTGGATAACGTTGCTTTAACCCTCTGTGCTCATCACCACCTGTTCCTGCCTGTTTTCATCAACCTTTTTGCAGCCCATCCCCACCCAACTCACTAGCAGGCCACTTTCTCCAAGGGAGTTTCGGCAGTGCCAAAAGGTGAAGACGATTGCATTTCCCCATCCTTTTTTCTGGTGAAGCTGGGAGGTCCAGCAGGCAGATCTAGAAAGAAGATATTGCAGAATGCAGAGGCTCGTAAGCTTTGTAGAAAACCACAGATATTGGAGTTAATCTGAAGTTAGCCTTTGTACTCCTTTTCCTTTTTTCCTGCTTTGTTTATTCCCAACTTGCATCACAATCAAGATCCCAAGTGTGGAACTGTTGTCTCATTTCTTCCTCTAGTTATATTCTACCCATTATCAAAGCCCTGTGTGCTATTCTTTGCATGTATTCATTCAAAGATGAACTGAGCTCCAATAAGGAGCTGGTTGCTGTCCTACTTTTGCCAAATACAGAGAGGGAAAAATGACAGAATCCTAACTACTTGCACCTTAGTGTAGAATAATAAAATGATTGTGGGATTTGGGACCAAAGTGGGCTGGATTTAAATTCCAGCTTTGACATTTCCTAGTAGTTTTGAAGATATACAAGCAAATTCTTACACTCTCCAAGCCTCATTGCATCTCGGTGCTAAATCTTCCCTTAAAAATGAGATTATAAATACCTTTAATGCAATGGTTATGACATAGACTTCTCATATATTTTAGGCATATATTTGCTGTCTGATAAATACTGACTAAACTAAATTGAATTTTGAATACAATTTAAAAATCAATATGATATTTAAAAAATGTGAGTCCCAGCTGTACAGCCAAGTAGTTGAAAGTCCTTGGATAAACCATTTAACTTCATTTTTTTTTTTTTAAAATACAAGAACAACTTAGAAAATTGCAAGATGCTTTCTAAAATCTTGATTCTCCTTTAGAATGCCTGAACTTTGCAAAATGCTACACTACTCTTCTACACAAATGCTATATTCATAATTCACTAGAATTTCCTTTGAGATAAATGTGTATATTTATATGTGTGTATATACACACGTGTGTGTATATGTATCAACAATACACGTACTTATTTTCAGTCACTTGTTGAGTGAAGTTGAAAATTTTTAAAGTGTTTTGGTAAAGACATGATATTCCTTAAAGAAGCTTTCAGATTTATTTAACAGAGAATTCCCCAAGCTTGTTTTAACTGATCATTTTTTAAATACAGTGCCTATTAACATCTTAGTTTTTCTTAGTATATTCATTTCAAAGTTGCAATAAACTCTTAGCTCTCTATAGTTTTAAATCTCATTTTGACTATTTTTAAATGTTCTCCAAGTTCCATGTCATGTACTGATTTTTAACTTCACTCAGTTACCAATGTGTATCACAAAAAAAAATGACTAGTAAACAGAATTTTACTGTTTATTAAAACAGCAGACAGAATGGAATCACTACAGTTAAGGACCATGGCCAGCTGACTTTCTTACTGGTCATCCAGATGTGCTGGTTTTCACTGTCACTATCAACGACTTCCTATATTGACATTTATGCTAGTTTGCGGATTGACAATGCAATCCTCAGAACATCAGGAGTTAAATATAAATACTGCCTTTGGAAGCAGACTCCTGTTTGAGGCCACTGGTACTCATACTAAAGATGGATCATTATTCTTCTCCTCAAGGCAGTGGTACTCTGTTAAGAGAGATGTGGCAGATAATCAACAGGTCCTTTGAATCTCTTAAGCTCATTGGTAAGTTTCCAACTTTCCTGAAATGTGAGACATAGATCAGTGAAATATGTAGTGATTTTTGAAATCCTGACATTTAGTCAACACAGCCCCATGTTTTTCCTTTGAGATGACTGGAGTGCTGGGAGCTGTGCCACCCACATTCCTAATGCCAAAACTCATCCTGGCACCTCAGCAGGTGAGCATCTTGCAGTGCAATAGAATTGTTTTCCAGGGGCTTCTGATCTTAGGCCTAAATCCTAAGGAAGATAAAATTAAAGGCATCTTTCTGGAAACAGATCCACTTTCAGAGAATGAAGTGAGACTACCAGTTTGCATCTCCAACTGATACATCCTCAACTATTTTATGATCCTTGCCTTAACATGTTTGATCCTGGGGATGGCTCCTGGTTGATGATTATGGAGATTCACAGAAAGAAGAAGCTGTTTCTCAGGTCAAATGTTATGGGCCTGGTTGGAGGCAAAAACTATTGGCCTCAACTGTTCAGCAATTAATAAAATTAATTTTTAAAGAAGATTTACAAATGAAAAACTGCATTCACTCTGGAGTATACTGGGTTGCTGAGATATTAAATGAGCCAGACAAAAGACTATGGAATATCCCCAAGACATTGTTCTTGGAGAATCCAGAGTAGATGATCCAAAGATTAAGTGCTTTTTTGACAGAAACACTGCACTATCATGTGTGGAGTTGTTTTATTATCTTTTTATTGCAGGTCGGGAAACATGTGTCCAGCAGTCTTCAACAAGCCCTTTGAATTTCAACAAAGCAAATAATAATTCTTGAACTTGAATGCCATGTGAAATTGATACTGAAAGACAGGATTCATTGCAAGTCAATTATTGATCTTGTAAAGAAGAAAGAAAGTCATGGCCATTAGGGATCAATAAGTCTGCAAACAGTTCTCCAGCCCTTGCAACTCTTTGGTCACTGAAAAAAATGATAAAGGGCTGACTAATAGTGACTTCAGTTTGAAGAGATTGTTTCATCCATCATACAGGTGATTCTGGTTTCACTTTATAATATTATTGATGATCAGTTGGTGGTATTACCCATGATGGATGAAGCCAAAAAGGGTTTGGAAAGAATTTTGTGAACACAGGTAACATAAAAATAAGAAGTTGTTCAGGATGGCTTCAACCAACTCCAACCAGTCCAACTGGTTAATAACAGCTCAAATTGGCTACAGTAGTCACAAACCAGTTCAGACTGGTTCTGACCAGCTCAGACCAGTTATTAGCCAAAGCCTTTTCAGACCAGCTCATATCAGTGCACACACTCCCAATCTGATTTTTAACAGTTCAAATTGCTTCTCACCTGATCAGATTGACTCAAACCAGTTCAGACTGGCTGGGTGACTTATAACAGTTCAGGGTGGTTCACTCCAGCTCAATGAATTCTGACGGATTCAAAACAAATCCAACCAGTTTTGACTGGGTCAGTCTTGTTCTGACAGGCTTCAATTGGCTCCAACTAGTTCTGACTAGTGCTCACTTTGTCATACAGCTTGTCAGGCACAGACTGGCTCATGAAAGTTCAGACTGCTTCTGACTGGCACAGACCAGTCCCAACCAGCTCAACTAATTCTGGCTAGTCTAACTCCCAACAGATTTTGGCCAGTTCATGTGGGCTCAAACCACTTCACATGGGCTAGTGAGTTTGAACTTTTCCTAACAGGTTCATACTGGCTAAGTCCAGCTCCAAAAGGCTTAAACATTTTCATTACAGTTCAGACTAGTTCTGAGAGTCTAAGACTGTTTTTTTCTGGCCAAAATTTATTTAGTCCAGCTCATACCAGTTATGACTGTCTCAATCTGGTTTTGAACAGTTCAAACTGGTTCTGATCAGCTAGATCAAGTCAGTTCAGTCTGGCTGAGCAAGTCATATAAGTTCAGGTTGGTTCAAACTAGCTCTGACCTGTTTTGATTGAGTCAGTCTTGTTTTGAATGGCTTCCATCGGCTCCAATCCAGTTCCGACTAGGACTACTCAAACCAGTTTTAGCTAGGATTAGACCAACTCTGCATGGCTCAGACTAGTTCAAACCAGCCCTAATAAATATTACCTGACTGAAACAAGCTTCAAGTGGCTAAAACAATCTCTGACTGATGGTGACCTGCTCTGACCATTTCAGGCTGGCCCAAATATTTCAGACCAGTTCAAAAAAGTTCCACTCAACTTATACTGGCCAAGGGCACCTCACTCTGGTTCCAAATAGTTCAGAGTGACTTAAAATTTCTCTGAGGACTTTTGACCAGTTTGGCAGGCTCAAACCTGTTCTAAGTCATACAGCATTGGCAGGCATAGACTGGCTCATGGATAGCAGTTTAGAATGCTTCTGACTGGGACAAAACAGTTCCAAGCAGCTCACACCAGATCCATCTGCTTTTGATTAGTTCATGTGGGCTCAAACCACTTCTTATTGGCCCCTGTAAGCTTGAACTGGTCCCGACAGGTTTATACAGGCTCAGACCAGCTTCAACAAGCTCAAAACCTTTTATTTAGGTTCATACTGGTTCTGATGGGCTCAGACTGGAATTTACCAAACACAATTTATTCAGACCAGCTCATGCCAGTTCAGTCTCAATCTGGTTTTGAACAGCTGAAACTGGTTCTGACTCACTTACACTGGCTCCAATCATTTCACACTGGCTCAGTGAGTCATACCAGTTTAGGTTGGTTAAAACTGGCCCCAATAGATTCTGAATGTCTCAAACCAGGTCTGACCAATTATGACTGGGTCAGTTTTTTTCTGATCAGCTTCAATTGGTTCCAACCCATTTCTGAGCAAGATTGCACAAACCAATTTTACCTCGGCTTAGACCAGCTCTGCCTGACATAGACTTGTTCAAACCAGCTCTAATGGCTACCACCTGACTGAAACAAGTGCCAAGTGGCTCAGACAATCTCTGACTGGTTGTGATCTGCTGAAACCAGTTCATACTGGCCAAAAATGTCAGACCAGTACACATCAGTTTCAGTCAACTCATACTAGTCTTGGCTACTTCAACTCAGCTCAGGATAGTTCTGAGTGGCTCAAAACTGCTTTGACTGGTTTTGGCCATTAAAAACTTCTGCTGGGACCAGCAGTTGACATAATGGCTATGTCACTGAACTTCCATGTGGTCAACCACAGTTTGAGTCCCAGACCTGGTGGCTTAAACTCATGCCAGGTATGTGTGCATGTGTGTCCAAGATCCTGAGAGGAGAATGGAGGAGAAGGGATTGTGGCATGACCATCCCTGGGAGGGGAGGGGGATTATTTCTCGCTTTCTGTCTCTCTCAATCTCTGGGGAGCACACAAGCCCTATAACAAAAAAAAAAGGAAGAAAGAAAGAAAAACTTCTGCTGACAAGTTCAAACATGTTCTGAGTGGATCATACAGCTTTTGGCATGCACAGTCTGGCTCATGCCAGTTCAAACTGGTTTGGACGGGCACAGACCAGTCCTAGGCATCGCAAATCAGAACTAAGTGCTTTTGTCTAGTTCATATGGGCTCAAACCACTTCTTGATGACTCCAGCAAGCTTGTACTAGTATTGACCAGTTCATACTGTCTCAGACCAGCTCAAAGAGGCTCAAATTCTTTCATTCTTATTCCGACTGGTTCTGACTGTCTCAGACTGGTTTTTACCAGCCAAAAGTTGTTCAGACTGACTTATACCAGTTAAGACAGCCTCAGTCTGAATTCGAACCAGTTCAAACTGGTTCTGACCAGCTTGAACTGGTTCAAATAATTTCAGACTGGATGAATGAGTCATGCCAGTTTAGGGTGATTCAAACCAGCTCAGATAAATTATAAAAGGGACAAATCATCTCTAACCAGTTTTGGCTGGGTCAGTTTTGTTCTGACCAGCTTCATTTGGCTCCAAACCAGTTATAATCAAGACTGCTCAAACCAGTTCTAAAAGGCAAGTTTAGACCAGCTCTGCCTGACTTAGGCTGGTTCAAACCAGCTCTAACAGGTACTACCTGGCTGAAGTGAGCACCAAGTTGCTCAAACAGTCTCTTGACTGGTTGTGACATATTCTGTCCAGTTCAGGTTGACCCAAACACTCTCCAGCCCTTTCATATCAGTTCCAGTCAACCCGTACTGGTCCAGGTCATTACAACTGGGCTCAGATTAGTTCTGGGTGGCTCAAAACTGCTCTGGATGGCTTTTTAACCACTCAAAATGTTTCTGATCAGCTTTACTCAAATTAGTTCATACTGGTTGAGTGACTCATACCATTCAGGCTGATTCAAACCAGATTAGGGAGAACCTGAGAGGACTAAACCAGCTCTGATAAGTTTTGATTAGGCCATTTTGTTTCATGTGGCTTTTACTGGCTCCAAGCAATTCCAACCAAGACTGGCTCAAACGAATTCTAATCAGATTTAAACCAGTTCTGACTGGCTTGGGCTGGTTCAAACCAGCTCTGATAGGTGACAACTGTCTCAAATAAGCACCAAGTGGCTCAACTGATCTCTTACTGCTTTAGACTTGTTGTAAAGTTCATATTGGCTCTAAAATGTTCAGATCTGTTCAAATGAGTTACCGTCATCTCATACTGGTTCTGGTCAATTAAAACCAGCTCTGAAACTTTGTGAGTGGCTCCTATCTGCTCTGACTGGCTATGACAAGTCAAGACTTGTGCTGACAAGCTGAAACCTGTTCTGCCTGGGTTATATGGGTCTTGGCAGGCATACTGGCTCATGCCAGTTCAGACTGCTTCTGACTGGCTCTAACTAGTTTCAACTAGTTCATACCAGATATGCCTTGTTTTGACTAGATCATCAGGCTCAAACCACTTTTTGATGGCTCTAGTGAGCCCAAACAGATTTAGATAGATTCAGACAGTCTCAGAACAGCTCTGCCAGATTCATTACTGGTTCAGTTCACTTCAGACTGGTTCTATCTGGATCATACCAGTTATTATTGGCCAAAACTATTTCAAACCAGCTCATACTAGTGCTGACAGTCTCAATCTTGTTTTTACCAGCTCAAACTGGTTCTGACCTGATTATTCTGCCCCAAACCATTTTAGGCTGGCTGAGTGACTTATACCAGTTCAGGCTAGTTCAGTCTGGCTCAATGAATTCTGATAAGCTGAAACCAGCTCTGACCAGTTTTGACTGGGTCATTCTTGCTTATTCCAACTTGAACCAGGTCCAACCGGTTCTGTCCAAGACTGGGGCAAACTAGGTCTAGACCAGCTCTGACTGGTTCAAGCTGGTTGAAAGCAGTCCAGAATAGGTACCAGATAGCTCAAAAGAACATGATTTGTCTGAATGAGATCTGACTGGTTTGAACTGGTTCAGATGTATCCTGACCAGTTTGAACTGTTATAAAGCAGATATTACTGAATCATACCAGTTCTGACAGTTAAAGTTGACTCTAAAATGTTTAGACTAGTTCAGATCAATTCTAGCCAACTCACACTGTTCCTGGCTATTTCCATCCAGCTCAATTTCTGACTAACTCAAGCCAGCCTTTACTTGTTTTGACCAATCACAGTTCATGCTGACAAGTTGAAACTTGTTCTGATTGAATTATATAGGTTTTGGTAGTTATAGGTTGACTCATGCCAGTTTAGATGGCTTTTGACTGGCTCAGACCAGTTCTAACCAACTCAAACCAGATCTGACTGCTTTGACTAGCTCATGTGGTCTCAAACCCTTCTATGATGGCCCCAATGAGCTGGAACCAGTCTCAAAAGATTCACATGGTCTCAAACCATCTCTAATAGGCTCATATCAGTTCAGACTAGTTTGTTCTGGTTCTGACTGGCTCAGATCAGTTTTTACCAGCCCAAAATGTTTCAGACCAGCTCATACCATTTCAGACAGTCTCAAGCTGGTTCTGATCAGCTCAACCTGGTTCTTAGCAGCTCAGGCTTCTCAATTTGGTTCAGAGTGGCTGAGTGACTCATATTAGTTCAGCTTGGTTCAAACCAGATTAGAGGGATTCTGACAGATTGAAATCAGTTCTAACCAGGTTTAGACTACCTCTGATTGGCTCAG